GAGACTCGAGCCATATGTCGAGCCATTAATATTATTAATTGGAAAACCGAGAGCCCGAGCCGCAAGTAAAACCCGTGCGACCCGACCGAGAGAACTGCGCCCCGGCCCAACCGAACCGGCAGCCCGACCCAGTTTTCCCCCCTAAACCGTGCGTGTGTGTGTCTTGTGGAGAAAGGAAAAGAGAACCCTAGGCTGTTAAAATTCACACCCGCCTCTATCTCTTTCACGCATCACGCCGCAGACAAATCTGCTCTTTCTCTCGTCTCTTTCACAACAGATAAATCACGCCTGCTCTCATCTCGCTTCCTCTCTTGTTAAATCACCAAAGCCCTCAATATCTCTTTCTTTTCTCTCCATCATCCGCTCGCGAGCTCTCTCACACTCGCGCAAATCCATCACCGCCAGAATCTCTCTCTTGCTCGGAGGAATCAGAAGAGAAAAAGAAATCTCGTTCACTCATCTCCTCTCATCACGTCACCCTCTTCATCATTCTCGGTCGCGAACCAACAACGGATCTTCATGGAGGGCCAGCCAACGGCAGCCATTGGTTCTCACAGCGACGGTCGGATATCTAACCCGCCATCACCGTGCGCTGATTCCTTTCCCTTCGGCGAGCAGCCCCTACGCGACAGCACCTCCGCGAGCCACCATCCTCCGCCGGCGTCTTCCTACCACCACGAGGTCCCAGCACCGCTGCAACTTCCGGCGATCCGCGCGCCAGCATCACCAACGAGTCCCCTCTTTCGGTGACGCCTTCGCTGTGCAGCCATCCCCAACGGCGATCCAAACGCTGTGCAGCACCCCCATTTCCGTCAATCACGAACCGGTGCTTCTCACGCGATCACCGGTGAGCCATTGTCCTCACCTCCATGAGCAGCCCACGAGCAGTTTCTGGTGAACCCCGTCTGCCGCGACCCTCTACCACGACCAACAGACCCTCGGCGACCCTCTTCCGACGCGTAGACGTTCACCGGCAGCCGCTGCTCCTCCTCCGCGAGTCGCGCGTAAGCCGTCAAGCACCACCGTGTGTTTGCCGACATCTCCGTTTGCTTTCTCGCTCGTTTCCCGAGAACAGTATTGACGGCTTGAACCTTACGTCTTTTCGTTTGATATGAGTTGATCGTATTTACGTGTTTATTTGATATGTTGTGTTGTAAATATTTTTCCGGAGTAGAATCAAAAGAATCGAACACCGGGTCGTGTCTCTCGAGGAAGGTTAGCCGGATTATTATGCACGTTTATTCAACCACACAAAAGAAAAGAAAATTCCTAAACATTCTAATTCAGATGGTTTGTTTTTGTTTTAATTATCAACTACCAAGAGAATTTAAATTAAGCAATAGAAATAGCAAGCAACAACGAAGAACAAGCAAGATTTAAGAAGCTAGGGAGTGGGGGATATCCGTTTTAGTTCAAATTGCAATCAATGGGCGAGTGATTGTTCGGTTAAGTGATTTGAATAACCTGCTCATTCAAGTACTCATCCTCAATAACTTTTCGTAACAAGAGAATGAACTTGAACGGCAAAATTACAACGTCATTTAACACCTAGGCAATACAATTACGAACAAGCCTAGTTTATACGAGCCTATTTCGACCGACTCCTCCCCTTTCAGTTCTAAGAGTCGATTAAGATAGACTAGAGGGTGATTAGCGGACTAGTAATTTAGAATAACCAACATCATTAAGAATATAACGAACTCAATTGAAAACAATTGGGAATTGAAGTGTCACCCTTCAATAATTCTCAATATTCGATCCTAACAATTGAAATATCCTTAAAAAAGATCAACCCGCACAAATTGAACAATCACGAACATAAAATTGCAAATGAAATGAAGACATCAATCCCTATCCCTAGCATAAGGATTTAGCTACTCATAATCGAATAATCAACAAAAGCAATCTCAACCCAAGAATTCATACTTAACGATTAAATTAAAAGGAAGTCTTACGATTGATAAATCCCAAAGTTGAATTCGATAAACAAGCTTGAATCCGAAAGCAATATTGAAATCCAAGCTTAAATCCGTGTTCTACATCGAAAAAGATGAAGGAAAAGTGAAAAACGAGTGGAAAGAGAGGGGATAGGGTTTTCTGTGTTTCTGTCGAAGAGCAGATGATCCCCAAATGATTTTTCATAGCAGCAGGGGGCTCATGGCGTGGAACGGCATCGCGGCGTGAGGAATGCCGGTGCCGCGGAGCAGCACTACTACACGGTGCAGCAGAAGATGGCTTCGCGGCACGGAGGGTCGTCTCGGGCACGGTGGCGTGCAAGGTGAGTTCTCTCTGTCCGGGTCGTGGTAACATCGCGGCGCGGGACGCTGGACTGCCGCGGCGTAGGGCTTGGGCGCGGCGCGGCGCTCGGAAGGGAGCTTTAGTCGGGGTCGTGGCAGGCAACGCGGCGCGGCGCGGGGCGCGGAGACCTGGGGCTGGACCTGGGACTTCACGTTCTGGAGTCGTTCGGGCTTGTCTGGTATCGGAATTCGATTCTGCTTTTTCCTGTGTAATGACAACGAAATGCTCTCTTTAATCATGTTCACTCGGTCCAGTTATCATGGAAAATGAATCCTCCCGAACCTTCCATCCTGCACACCAAAGACAAGAATAACCGGAAAAATACCGAAAAACACAAGGAAAACCAAAATAGAAGAAACCACGAAATAAACTACAAAACAAACTAAAAACCGACTAAAAGACCTAATATGGGGGAAAAAGAAAAGAAAAATACTGACGCAAAATGCAACAAAAATGGGACAAACAACTCCCCCACACTAAAACCTTTCTTTGTCCCGAACAAAAAGACACGAAGAGAAAAGAAGAGAAAACAAGCAAATGAACATGGATAATAGTTTCAGACAAGACAAGCTTCAAATCAATCAACTCAGCGGAGGAGACTTCCAATGACCAGTATAGCACACCTCAATTACAACTCGAATGCTACGCTTTGAAAAGACAAACTCTCGAGCACGGAAATATAATATATATGCCTCACTCAGTTTCTTTCATGAATATGAACTGGGTATACTCAAATTAGTCGGTGATCGTGTTTCAACATAAGCTTGCCTATTGTCTACTCATACTCTAAAACAATTAAAGATCATGAATTCGCAAATCAAGAGGACCTTCGGGGTTGTAATGTAGTTGTCAAAGGAAGGATGAATATGAAGGTAAAATGGCTCACATAAACAATCATACTCTCGAGCACATAAATACTCGAATATCTCACCACCTATCCGTAATCAACAAGAAATTAATCATTCCCACCAAAAACTCCATACACTACTCACACATGCTCAAGCTGAAATGCAAATTAAGTACTCGACTGTTTGTTTTTATTATTATTACTATTATTTTTTCTTTCTTTCTTTTTTTAAATAACGGTTTTACTTTTTTCTAACAAGATCAAGATGTAAGGACGATATTCTCCTCCATATAAGCGGAGTAGAATCCTTTTTGTTCTTCTTGCGAGTTCCCTTTTTTTTATTTCATTCGATTTTTTTTTTTCTTTAGAGCACCCAAGATGCAACTCAAACCAGTTATAAACCTTCTCCAAACACATATTAGAAAGTTCCGTCATCGTAACAAATACAATGTCAAATCTCAAGTAATTCAATCAAATTGGTTGACAAGAAATACGGTTCCAGACTCAACGGGCTACTAATGAAAATATTACTTCAAGGGTCAATGAAAAGGCTAAAACGAGCAATGTCAAAGAAATGTCTCAATCATTTTCGCAAATCACAACTTCAATCACTTCATTTCACAACAGACTCAAAGCAAGTTCTGATCAACAACGAATCCGACCAATATGTCTCAAGAAACAACCAAGGCTCAAACCTCACATAAGGTAA